AGTTGGTGGGAGCACTGCCCTTGGGGTTGGACTTCTTACATCTGTCTACCTTGCCACCTTGCACGAGAACGACTTATGGTTTTCTAACATTAAGGGATTGAACTCAGGTCCTTATGCTTGCCAGGAAAGCACTTATTCTACTGAGCTATCTCCCCGGCCCGAGAATCGATTTCTGAACTTACTATTTTGAGTGTGTATGTGTGTGTGTATGCGTGCACACGCAAATTGGGTCATAGTAGAAAATGAGGTGTTGTTTTGCTTTGTTTTTCTGTTGGTTGCAATAGGGAAAAGGAAAGACAATTGAAGGCCTTTGTTCATGGAGTCTGAGCCGGTCTCCAGAGATGGGCTTCAGCATACTCCTATCTTTCTAGTGCTATTTGCAGTTGGTCTTAAAGGTGGGGAAACAATACTTTCTTTGGGGAAAGAATCCAGAATTTTCATCTGATTTTCAAAAGAGCCTTAAACTCTTTTGGTTATTTTGTTTTTTTCTTTTAGCATTTCTAGAACTTACTTTGACAGCTCAAACATCGAACCCAGGCCACTGCACTCTGCCTAAGCAGGTGCTTTAATCTGCTGAGCTATTTGGCCGGCCCCATTGCCAATGTTTTTGATCCAAGTATATTTGGTTTTGATCTAGTATATCAAGATCTTTGATCTTACTATCCATGGCTTCTAATAACTAATTGCTAACAAAGGTAAATACTTGCCTTCAAAACAGAAGAATTATCATATTCAAAGGAACTGATCTAAGGCACCTCCCAGGCGGGGGGGTGGGGGGGGCATGGTAGTGTATGTCTGTAATCCCAGCACTTGGGAGGCTGAGGCAGGAAGATTCCCTCAAGTTAGAGGCCAGCTTGGCCCATGTAGCAAGACCCTGTCTCAAAAAGACAAAAAAAAGACACTTCCTAAAGAGAGGCTCTCTGGGCAGTCAGAAAACTCAGCGGATTAAAGGGCATGCTTACGCCCCTGGGGCACACTGAAACAGCAATTGAGACTGGGCGGGGTGATGCACACCTATAATCCCAGCGCTTGGGAGGCTGAAAACAGAATCACTGTGAGTCTGATGTAGTAGTGAGATCCTGTAGACCTTGCACTAAAATAAAAAAATATATGTATATAAATATAAGTAGAGGCTCACTGTTGATTTTTATAGTAGTAGGAGTTAAACGCCACTGTAACCTGCAGCTCCAATCTGCCTACCCTTTTTCACCTCCCTTCCTTCCTTGTGACAGTCTCATTAAGTCACCCAGGTTGGACTTGAACTTGTGACCTTCCTTCCTCAACCTCCTTGAGTCCTTGGATTACAGGCCTGCACTACTCCCAAGGAATTGCCTAAAACACTTGGAGGTTTAGTGCAGTGATGAAAATGAGCCCCCAAAGGAGACTATTTTAAGTGACAAATCTAAAGAGCTTCTATTAAGCTTATTTTTAACACTTGACATATTACTTCATGAGTACAGCACAGGTCTGTATGGCTTTCTTTTTTTTTTTGGCGGAACTGGGGATTGAACTCAGGTGCTTGCACTTGCCAGGGAAGTGCTTATTCCACGGAGCCATCTCCCCAGCCCTTGTATGGCTATCTTTATACATATTATCATGGTAGCAAAGAATAATAACTCTTACCCTTCAGGAACATTTGGTGGGTTTTTATGCCAAGAAAATTTTTACTCATCTCTTTTTACAATGGAGCACTTATAAATAGATTCCCTAGAATTAAGCAACGTGTGCTTATTTATTAACATTTTGAATAAAGGCTGAAGTATTCCAGTGTGGGCAGCTAGCTAAAATTAAATGTTAGTAACAGCGTAGCAAAAAGAAGTGTTGATAGCGATCATATAACTTAATTATAAACTGCAAGTTTAGCTCTTTAATTTAAAGCTTAGAAGTCACCTTTCTAATATCCTTAAATAGGGATACGTCATCATCAAGAAACCTCGGTGTCCTTGAACTTTTTCCGTTTTCACTTTCACTAGATTAAGAAGTTCATTATGTTTTTACCCAGTATTTATCTAGCACCTTTTGTTTGGGTAATATTGGATTGAACTCCGGGAGCTATGGAAGGAATAACGAAGCCCTCTGACTTTGCCATCCTATTTTGCAGTGTAACAAATGAATTCAGAACGTATGTATTAAGCAGCAGGCCCTGTGTTCGTGGTAGCAGGACCACTAAGCCATGCTCTGTTCTCAGGGAGCCTACAGAGAAGAGACTGACAGGTATTCAGACAGTTGTAGGATATCCAAGTCAGCCCTGAGATGGGGTGAGACAGAATACTAGGGGACTAGAGGAGGGGAGCCTGACCTGACTGATGGTGACCAGGAAAGGTTTTCTAGAGGAAGCCATAGTTGAGGCCAGCGGGATAATTTAATGAGGCACTGTTACGGTTTGGGGCTTTTTGCATGGTAAGCAATCTAGCACAGAACACATTGTATAATATTATTTTATAACGAACCACCCAAGAATCACAAGCGCAGAAAATCTATCCACACGCTAAATACTGAAGACTCCAGCTGAGGATCTAGATGCTGATATCCTGCAGGAGTCCCGCTGGAAACCTAGAGCCCATAACAATGCCTCCCACAAGTCCAACTGGAGGCCTAGAGCCCACAACAAAGTCTCATGCAGGCCTGCTTCATGGATCTGTGCTGGAGAGGCCCAAAGGTCAGTGGTAGAAGCTGGGAAGTCTATGCCAGCAGGATGAAGGATCTGTGCTAGCAGGCTGAGGGTCTGAACTGGAGCTAGGAGCAATGCTCAAGGTAAGCACCAGAGCTCCCCTAAAGGTACCACAGCCATCCTCAGCAACAGTGAGGTCCCGAGCTCCTCCAGCGATTAGGAAAACCGAGTTTCCATTAGGAAAGCCAGTGTGACAAGCTTCTTTATGACAGCATCCTCCCCTCGAGAGCCAGGAGGCAATGCTCAAGATGAGGACCCAAGCTTCTCCAAAGTTCATTGGGAAAGCCAGCATGACAAAGTCTCCAGCAGAACAACCCAAGACAACTAGCAGCAGTGAGTGGGAGTCCGGTCAGTCATCTCAGTCCTGGTTTCATAGTATGAGCAGATTCCTCCTGATTTGGGGGCAGGTTAGTTCCTGTGAGATAAGTGCCTCTGAGGCAGTCTCTATCAAGAGAGGCTGTGTTGGAATCCTGAACAACTGTGGATTTAGGACACTGGGGACTTCTGGGTACTGCTGAATGTCCTTGTAAAGCTCTTACATTAGTGTCCTCAGTCTGGAAGGGTGATGAGGCAGGCTAGGTAAATTTTGGGCTAGTAAACCTTGTTTGGTCAACTTTTAGACAGACACCTCCTGAATGATTAAAAGGCCTATATTCAGGGCAGATAAGGACTTCACTTGGAGTTTTACACAGTGACAGTCAAGCTTTATTCCCCTTCTAGTGACCTGTGAGGCATATATAGGAGTCACCCTTTTTCTTTGCAGAAATCACTTTTAAGTCTCTGACTACCTCAAAAGAAAACATGAATCATGATTTTAGTGAGTAACAAGTTAAGGCCTCAGGAGTTTGTCCTCTGTCCCTGTGGTGTGAGAAATTCACAGAACTCAGAAAGAACTAAGATTGCAGGTTCATTATAGCAAACGGGGCCAAACTAGAACCAACCAAAGGGAGAGATGGTTAGGGCCAAGTCTGGGAGGAAGGGCTGGACTCAAAGCTTCCATTGTCCTTTTCCCGCGGAGTGAGGCTGTCCAGCTCCTGGCACGTCCCTGCGTGTGATGCTCTGTGGAGCACTGATGGTCCCAGAAGCTCACCTGAGTTACAGGAATCCCTTGTTTTACTGTCAGTGATGTAGGTATAATTGCCCGAATCACTGCTCTGAGGTTGAACTCAATCTCCAGGCCCCATGCCGAGCCATCTCTTTAGAGACTGGACTGCAGAACCATCCTGCCTCGATTGTTAGCACAGCTGTCAGATGCGCTCTGCACAACCTACTGTGAGTGACAAAGACACTTGTAACTCTGAATTTTAAGAATTTAGAGGCTACCTCCCAGGAGCCTAGGACAAAGCACACCTAAATGTTTTGTTCCTAGAGCTTAGAGGTTACCTCCTCCCAGGACCCAGGATAAAAACCCACCAAATTCTCTATTATGCCGGAGGCAAGACAGAGCATGATAAGCTGAAGTTCAGCTATGTGAGGAAGCGCTTTCAAAACTGTAAAGAGAGGCAGTAAAGGAGGTTGGATTTGTCACATCAAAGGCAAGAGGTCTTCACTGTTAGAAATGGACATTTTGATGTTAGCAGCTTGTAGATTTATGTTGCAGAAGTGCGTAGAACAAGGAAAGAAAGAGATCGCAGGCCAGTTTCTGTCTGTGCCTCAGATGCCATCTGGGAAGCCGTAAAGCTGACGTAGCCTCTCGCAGGTGTCTCCCACCCACTACCCCATCCCCCAAAAGCTACCGTGGAGCTCAGAATCTTCCTTCACTTTTTCCCTTTCTCAAGGAGTGTTTCACACCACAGACGCCATCACGAAAA